CACACACTCATAGGAGTCGTAGCCCGTGCGTCCACACACGCACACACATTGACTAGCACCTAGAGGCTGGCGCCATGTTCCAATTACTAACACTGACATCTGTCTCTAACAGCATGATGCTTTGTTCATTATTTGTTTATCTATTTATTTGTTTATTTATTTATTTATTTATTTATTTATTTATTTATTTATTTATTTGGCTTATTCATCTGCATCGTATATCTGTGTTCCTTTTTGTTTTCTTTCACGGTGCAGTTTTCCTCAATTCTGGTTTKTKWACCWTCTGTCTTCCTATGGGGAATCTTGAGACTGAAACTTAACTGTTTATTGCTTCATAGGCCTTCCTCTGCCACCTGCGGCAAACTCAGCTTCCTCCTGTACGYGCTCAACATCGTAGCTTCCATCCATATCATGTGCTCTGGTGGATCTAAGTGTCACTGAGGGAAACTGGTCAATTTTTGTCACAAACGACAATAGTTTGCTYGCATGAAATATAGGGTAAGTTTTCAGGTGCCGGGACACATCCACCACATAACTCACGCYGTCTGCTCCYGCTACTACTTCCAATACAGTAATTCCCAAGGTCCTAGATGTGTAGGTACTAGGAAGGAGTTTCWGAGAGATTCCTTCCTCTGGAGTGAACTCCTTAGACTTCACCCAGACGAAGTCTCCCACCTTGAACARTACTGGCCTGCGTTGTTTGTACGCAGCCTCAACCATCTTCTGCTGTTCGTGGTGGATCTTCTCAGTCACCTTCCAGATATCCTCCTCATAGTACATCAGTGCATACTCATGGGTCCCTGGTAGATCTGATGATTCCGATCGGTATTCAGGAGATCAATGGGTCTGTGAGGTTACCACCCCATGGCATGTACACCGGACGAGGATTGCSACCCATCGCTGTATGAACAAAGTTATTGTATGCTGAGCTTACTTTGGATAGGTTTTCATCCTAGTCGGCTTGATCAGGTCTAACACATATCTGTAGAGTCTGTCGCAACACTTTGTGGATCTGCTCAACTTCACCATTGGTTTTAGGGTGTCTCGACTTGACCATTGGTCTCAGGGTGTCTCCCTGGGGACATAATGAGTTGTGTTCCATACGACTTCTACAGTTGCTTCCACTGCTCTTCGGTAAACCTAACATCCCTATCACTAACTAAAGTACAAGAGTGCCCGTACTCAGCAACCCAGTGCATAAAAATCTTATCTACAACTAATTCACTCTTTCCTGTGGTGGGCAAGGGCACAAATTTTCGCATATTTATTGAACCCGTCCATGATAGACATAACTGGGGTAATATTCCCATTCCTACTCATGACGTCTGTATCCATGAAGTCGATACAGATAGATAGACCGACCTAGACCTGATGGAACGGGCAAGGGMTGGAGGCGACCCAATGCTGCCTCAATCCTTGTCTTATTGCGTTGAAAGATAGACAAGACATCTATTTTGCACTTAGTGCAATCTTATATGGTGSCGGCCCGCAGATACATTTACAAAGAGCRCATTGTCAAGTCTTTCTCCATCCAAAGTGACCCTCAGCGATGTCACACTTCCCCAACACCAGATTTTTCMCTGACTCAACATTGTGGATGCACAATCTTTGCTCACCTTTGGATGTGAAGAACAACAATCCACTGGCTAATTTATAGCCAAGTACCTTGTAAGGACTCATACTGCATTTTTCAATCACCTTAGACAACACAAGATCAGATTTGTGCCCAGATACAATCTTCTGCAAGGSTTATGCCCCTCAGAGCCCCTTTCAGGCCCTSTGAAGCAGCACGTCGGCCGCCCTAAGTGAASGCAGGCTCAACGAGGGCCTGAGGGCCCCTATTTTYGGTCACCACGCAACTCAGGAAATTCAGKCAGTTGCGCAGCGCCAGTTGGTTAAAAGAACCCACACCCTGGGCAGCCTGTTTGCATGTATCAAAGGCAGGCCCTGGGCTGGATACGGGATGTGGGTCGAACACAGGCCTAAGGCAGTTGGGCGCGTGCAACCACTGCAGGCCCTGGCCCTGAGTTGTTTGGTCTGGGCCTCAGCCTACYGGGGCCTACCAGAAGCTTCTTGGGAAAGGCCCAGCACAGCCTGGGACACAAGGCAGGCAGGCCACTTCCATATAGCAAAGGGCCTGCCTCCGCATTTGGGATTCGGGTGCTGGCTGCATGCTTCGCAAGCGCTGCTGCGTTAGAGGCTGGCCAGCACTCATGCACTCACGGGCGAGCAGGGAAGGAGCATATGTGTGTTGAGGAACGAGGTTGAGAGTGAAGCGAGAGACTTACCTGGTGCTGATGCGTAGGGCATTGGCCGCGATCTGCTCATACTTCGGAAGAGCTGTTGTCGTCATCATTCGGCATGATTGTAGTAGTAGGCTAGATAGGATCTGCCATCTGTAGTCTGGACGCCGAGCGCCAGATAGGATATCGACATTGGTTCTGCATTGACGATGAAGAGACTATACCAACATTATCAATTGTGAGCTTTTGCTGTTCTCTTATTTGGTGGGACTCGTTATGMTATTCTGCTTTTGGTTCGAGGTCAAGACTATCTGGTCACTTGTATATGATGCTGTTGATGTATGAAGTTCGCTATTGCTCATCTTCCTTGCACCTCCTTCTAACATCTGATCCTACATCTAGACTTGTGACCATAGCCCCAAAGAAACCATCTCTTCCGCTCGGCTACTAAATTGCATTTGGTCCTTATCTTTTGCAATTTCTTCAATATATCTGACAATTTGGGCTGATTCTTTGGCCAAGTGAAGGTTTTCTCACCATCTATATAAAGATTAAACTTTAGTGTCTTGTGACAAACCACTTTCTGTAACGCGCRATTTTCTGCGCGGTTGCAACGAGGGGTCCTAAGCTGGGAAGATTGGGCCAATTACGGGAAATCGGGATCGGGGGAAAATTGCATCAGTACCCTTGCATTTTCCTCTTTCTTTCGTCGCTTCTTGTCGGGTGACTGGGTTCGGAGCTGGGTGTATCCTGGGACGGCCAGTTGAGTGATTGGTCGGATGGATGTCTGGCRCGCCACCACGCGGGCGATTAATAAATGTTGACGCCGTTTCTTTCGTTTCRGTTTCGATCTTTTGGGCGCGGACATCGCGCGGGAAATTGCTTCGTTCTTTTGAATTTTTCCTTTAAGTCTTTTTCGAATTTTGTCGAGCCCCCCCCCCGATGGCTCTCGGAATTTTGGATTTTCCTTCTGGAATGTATGCTTTTTGCTTTTTCGCATTAGATAGGAATTTAGGAATTCAGTAGTTAGGAC